TTCTTGCTATTCGTACTGACTTCACTTCGGAGCAGTTGGCGAGACTTTACATCTCAGAGATTATGAAGTTGCACGGTATTCTATTGTCTATTATATCATACAGGGATTCGAGCTTTGTGTCGGGATTCTGGAAGAGTTTTCAGCAGGCTTTGGGTACGGAGTTGCATCTTAGCACTGCTTATCATCCTCAGACTGATGGACAGACTGAGCGAGTGAATCAGATTATGGAGGATATGCTTCGGTCGTGTGTTCTTGATTTAAAGGGCCACTGGGAGGATTATTTGCCACTTGTGGAGTTTGCTTATAACAATAATTTCCAGAAGACTATTGGAATGGCACCATTTGAGGCGTTATATGGCCGATCATGTCGATCACCTGTTTGTTGGATGGAGGTTGGTGAGTGCAGATTTTTGGGTCTTGAGTTCATTAAGGATACTTCCAAGAAGATAGCTCTTATTCGAGATCGCATGCGTACTGCCCAAAGTAGGCAGAAGAGCTATGCTGATCGTCGCACTCATGCTTTGGAGTTTAGGGTTGGAGATCAGGTTCTACTCAAAGTATCGCCTATGAAAGGTGCCATGCGCTTTAGGAAGAAAGGAAAGTTGTCACCGCGGTTTGTTGGTCCATTCATGATTACGGATCAAGTTGGAGTTGTAGCTTATCGGTTGGCACTTCCGGATAACTTAGATCGCGTTCACAATGTGTTCCATGTTTCTATGTTGCGGAATTTTCTGCGAGATGAGGATCGGTATCAACATATCGATGTTGGGAAGATTGAGTTGCAGCCGAATGCGACTTATTTGGAGCCACCATGTCGTATTGTCGACCGTCGGGATCAAATCCTTCGTAACAAGGTTATCCCTTTAGTTCGTGTCCAGTAGAGTTATCACAATGAGGCTGAGTCCACTTGGGAACGGGAGGATGTCATTCGCTCGCAGTTTCCTAAAATATTGGACGAAGGTAAGTGCAAATTCCGAGGACGGAATTCCTTTTGTTAGGGGGGAAGAATGTAATACCCCTAATTTCAAAATGATAGTCCTAGTATTTATTATATTGTTTACATTGCATTTATTTTTGTTTAATTATTTATTTGTTTATTTTTCCTTGAATTAAATATTTTATTTAATTGTTGTTATTTGTTTTATTTATTTAACTGGCGGTTTGTTTATATTTGCATTAATTGTTTTAAATTAATTATTAGATAATTGTTTAACTGATGTAATTTAGTTGTTTTAATTGAATTAAGTTAATTATATTTAACCTGTTTTAACGTGACTGTATGGAGGCACACATATAGTTATATTAGGGTTTTATTTACACGGATGTAGCTGACTTAGGGTTGGTTTTGTATTAGAATTAGGGTTGTGCTAAAGCCTATAAATACAGTATTATACGTTGGTTTAAGGTTACATAACAAAACCCTATTCACTGATACGTATACCGTGAGACAGAGAGATACAGAGAGTGAAAACTGGTAAGGTCGACGGAGAGGTTCAAGGATACACTGGACGGAGTGCTTCTGGATTGAACCAAGAGCACTTGAGGTTTAGAATAGGAGTTTCGAACGTGGACAGAAGCTTCAGAGATAGTGGTTTAGAGTTTCAAAAACTGAAACTCAAGGCAAGTCACTATTCTATTCCTTCCCTTTAATTCGTGTTCTGTGCATGCTTATTTAAACCCCAGGGATTAATCAAGCATTAAAATAGATTAAATTAAAGTTAAAATTGATCTTGTAAGCATGTTTGAATCAATTTTTAAGTTATTGCATAAATCTGTTGTTGTGTAAGAAGTTATTCTTGTTTAAGAATTTGTTTGCACTGGTTGTAATCTTGCTTAACCTTTGTGTGTTTAGGATTGAATGCATGCTTTTAATTAATTCTAGGACATCAATTGAACCCTGGAATAAGTTTTAAAAAATGTACGGTGACTCTGGACTTCGCCGGAGGCGAAGAAGGCGAACAGGTTAGGGTATACGGCTCTCAAAAGAAGAGAGCCGGCTCACCAAAAGGGTGGAGCCGGCTCTAGGGCTTGTAGAGCCGGCTCTACAAGGGGTAGAGCCGGCTCCACTTAAGGTGGAGGTGGCTCCACCTAGGGGGGAGCCGGCTCCAATGTTCTGGAGGCGGCTCCAACCCTATTTTCCTCCAGTTTTTTGATTTTTCGATGGTTTGGGGTTCTGTTGTGCAGTTTGGATTAATTATAAGTTATTTAGATTTCAGTTTATCGTCTATATAACTGTTATAAGCATGTAGAAATACTGGGAAGTATGTTAACATAATTATGTTGTAGCATGAAACAACATAGAGTAAACAGGAAGATTGCATGTGGAAGGTTGGACAGTTACTTTAAATGGCTTACTGACATTTGTTTAGCAATTTTTGTTTACATGATTTAATTCTGTTAATCTTGTTGTAACACTGTATTGAGCATAGTTGGTTACTTGAAATATTTATACTTAATTTGGAGTGCTTGATGTGGAAATATACATAACTATGTAAATCTATGGACTGGTTGGAGGAGTTAAATGCGTAATTGTACTTCATTAATTTAAATGATTGGAACAGGATTTCTAAATCTATTATTGGATGCATGATTCAGTTTTACGTATGTTAGATTATAGTTGTGCTTATTTTGGAATGTAGTTGATAACTATTTAATTATTTTGTCAACTATGGTAAATAAAGGATGGTGTGCACCGGTATGGGACGGTGGCATACTATGTACGGACTAGTTCAGACACTAAGCCTTCCCTTATCTGGATTAAGGTTCGGATTAACAATCAAAGGTTAAGTCTGACTTCTGTTGGTGTCAGGTCAGTAAATAACTGAATGACACAATCGGATTTCTGGGATGAATTGTTATACAGATATCACGCCACTATATCATATGGATGATATTCTGTATTAGGAAGACAGGGACTTTATATATTTATGTTATGGTGCCATGGTATGAGCTTGAGTCTCAGGACCATGGTTAGGGCGCGTATATCGCCTAGGATGGATAACTGGACATAGGTGTTGTTCCCTGATAGGTCTAAGTACACATGTCCACATTATGTGCGATTTGCATGGTATCTCTACTCAGGTTGAGACAGACCTACTGGACTAGCGAGCGTCCTATAGTGTGTATTCTATATATACATATAGATTACTCTAGATATTGTTGAGTCTTCCTTGGATGTATCTGCGTATCGGATTACTGTATGGATTGTAGTAGAATGGGACTTGCATGTGGGCCTAACCCACTCTCTTATTTTTCAGGTGTTCGTCAATTCCAGGGTTAGAGCTTGAACGAGCAGTGCAGATACAAACATTCATTCCTCTGACTACATAGGAATTCTTTCTATGTTTAGCTTTAGATTTTATATATATTATTTTAGTTTCTATTGGGATTTTTTAATAAGGGATCCACTGAATGGATTCCCGAGTTATTAACCTTATGGAGTTTTGGAGTATTGGATTTCAATAATTATATTTTAAGGATTTTCAATTAGCATTATTTCAGTTTATTATTTTTTTATTTCTTATTTCATCTTGTATTCTGTGTTCAATTATATATTGATTGTTTGATATTTCCCTTGGGTTTGGGCCTGGGCCTGATCAACCCGTATCTCGGATCCAAAGGGTATCACAATATGTGTCAAATGAATCATAGGCACCTCCTTTTGTAGTCGTGTGTGTGTGTGTGTGTGTGTGTGTGTGTGTATCATGTAAATTCAACTCCTGCAGTAGCTGTGAAAAGAAACAGGATCCACCATTCTTTTGGCTCATTTACAAATATTATCAAGTTCACTATATTTAATTTATGCATGCAGCTTATTCAAGAATTTGACACTTAGAATGCCGGCTCACTATGACAAACTATAAATATAAAAAATAAAAATAAAAATAAAAATTCCAAATAAGTCCTCCAAAGATTCAACAACCTAGAGATCCTTCAAAAAAATCGTACATGAAATGTAACTCCCAAAACTTAGGTCAAAAGCTTCATACAAATTCAGATGAAAAATGTGCTTCCATGACAAGAATTATAAAATAAATAAATAAATAAAACTAAACAAATATATAACTTTTGGTGAACCATCTATGCAGTGAATATCTAGATGTGTTTCAACATACAGGTTTTTAGTCATATCAATGAAGATCATGTTTCCCTTAAGTAAAGATAAAATTAAAAAATTAAAAAAAAAAAAAAAAAATACTACTTCTACTACACAATTAAGACTATAAATTTTTTCTCATATTATATACTAGAATCCTTCAGTCACATGAAATCATTTAAACATTGGATTATATATGCCTCTAATTCTGATCATATATGCTCTAAAAATTTTGCTTGTTAATTTTGTTAAAAGACAAAGTAGTATTACAATAGTAATCTTGAGAATCCATAATAAAGAATTCTTTAAAATAGTTATCAAACTATTAGTAAGCAAGGTTCCCTGAAGCCAACAAGCTGGCTATGTTTTAAAATGCTAACGTGTGATAAGTCAAAACTCTTCAAATTATTCAAATTTGTATGCTCCTTTACTAAGACTTTGAGCATCGTTTTATTATTTGCTTACAAAGCTGCCAATTTGGAAGCAAATTAATTGATATTTTTCATTATAGTTCACATAACAAATCCTTTATGTCTCACCCTATATATTACCAAATCTGGTTCTAAAATTTCTCCTGCACCAAATCTACCTCAATCATAAACAAATCAAGCCTAATATTCCTCTTTGGAGATCAAATTTCCATTTCAAAAACTTAATGAATACTTAAAGAAATACACAAATTTTCATCTAAACAATTTCTCAAACATTATGCATGCACATGGACACTCACGTAAAGGATTGCAAGTAATAGTAACCATCAATCCAACTTTAGAGACCAAATTAAAACTACACAGGCACACACAATGTCAAGATATTTTTCAGAGTACTATTCAAATCATTTTGCAAAACAAGAATTACAGAACTTGATTAATTGATTTAGAAAGAAAAAAAAATTAATGCATACAAGTTAGCAGTTGCAGAGAGAGGGCTTGAGAGTTGAGAGACAGCGGGCCAAAGGCTGAAGCTTGCGAATTGCGAACCCGAACTGGAACAACGGGCGATGGAAACTGAAGGATATGGGTTTTGATTTTTTGAACAATCTGAAATGATATGCCGATATGGGTTCTGATTCTTGTAGATTTTGTAGTTTGCAGTTGCAGAGACAAAGAGAGGGCAGTTCAGAGTTGAGAACCAGAATAGAGATGGAGGCGATTTGGGAGGCTGATCTGATTCTTGTAGATTTTGTAGTTTGCAGTTGCAGAGACAGAGAGAGGGCAAGTTCAAAGTTGAGAATGAGAATAGAGATGGAGGCGATTTGGGAGGCTGATCTGATTCTTGTAGATTTTGTAATTTGCAGTTGCAAAGATAGAGAGAGGGCAAGTTCAGAGTTGAGAACTAGAATAGAGATGGAGGCGATTTGGGAGGCTGATCTGATTCTTGTAGATTTTGTAGTTTGCAGTCGCAGAAACAGAGAGAGGGCAAGTTCAGAGTTGAGAACGAGAATAGAGATGCAGGAGATTTAGGAGGCTGAAATGATTTGCCCGTGTGTGGTATGTCCGTGTGTGCGTGTGGGGTCTGAAATGATTTGGCCTAAAATTTTAAGTAAGTAGCGGGAATAAGACCCGCGTAAAGCCTTACACCAAATTCACTTTCTACAACGGTGCCTGAACCGTGGTAGAACAACTTACTATCACGGTTTTTCATTAACCATGGTAAAAATAGCAAGTCTAAATTTAAGTTAAATTAATTCACTTTTCTATCACGGTTATAAAATAATCGTGGTGAAATAAATTTACTTTCTACCACGATTTTTTTATAACCGTGGTAGAAAATACAATTACTACCACGGTTTTCCCTTAACCGTGGTAGAAAGAATCTTCTTCTACCACGGTTTTAAAATAACCATGGTGAAATTTATTCTTTCTACCTCGGTTATTTTAAAACCGTGGTAAAAAGTGTCTTTTACCACGATTATTTTAAAACCGTGGTAAAAAGGGCATTCTAAAAAACTGTTTTTCTTGTAGTGTTACAACTCTTGTGGATGCTCTAGTTGTTAAAAACGTCATTGATAATTGTGATATAAGATTGGTAGTCAAAATCATGGATTCAGTTTTGTGTATCTATATGTGGAGCTCGAGCCCTTGTTTCTAGGCTCGAGCCTTGGTTGAGCTTGAGCCCTGTGAGGAAAAGCTCGAGCTTTGAGATCCAAATTGCAGTTTAAAGTTTGTTCTTTGAGGTTTTGAGTGTTTATATTGGGAATTAGAGTTCATATTGTCTATTGGAAGTCGAAATGGTTCGTCCTGCTCATTCTAGTCATGCTCGAGTGACAAAAGGTGTCATGCCAAGTGCTTGGAAGACATGTCCAATTGCTTATGAAATAACTTTTGATGTTAAGGCATTTATGAATGATCCTCACACTAGATAAGCTATGAAATCCTTTAGCTACAGGCACCTTCTCCATACTATGATTCTTACTGCAAAGATTGTTTATCCTCGACTGGTTCAGTTGTTCTATCTTAACCTTTCATATACTGAGAATGAGCCTTAGGTGCTCAAGACTGTGGTAGATTGGCATGAGTTAGTTATTTCTCCAGATGCAATAGCTACAGCATTATTTTGTTATCATAAGATGCCTGTTGTCTTGAATGAGAGGCGTAGCTGCCTTACTTTTACACCCTTCCTTAAGGAAAGGACTGCAGAGAGTTTCATTGAGGAATTATATGAGGGGAGGTTTGCTAAAGGGAAGCGTAGTAGTACTACCAAAGCTAAGCTTCCTAAAAGGCTGTGGATTATGGACTCCATTCTCTATGCCAATGTCCATCCACGTGGTCATAAGACTACTAGACACACGAACTTTCTTCAGGTACTCTATCCTATTCAGTATGATCATTGGTATTCAATACCAAGAATAATGTTTTGCCAGTTGATTAAGTTTTGGTCTGAATTTGGACCTAAAAAGGACATTCCAACCCACAAGTTACCTCTCCCTTATATGATTACTATGTTGTTAGAGCCATAGGGTTTTGAGTTTGAGCCAAGTGAGGAGAATAGTAATGAGTCTCTACCCTTCCGTTTACAGGAGTGGAATAAGTTGTGGTCTCATATGCCTGAAGAGCGCTGCACTGCGGTAGAAATTGGTGATGTTTATTCAGAGACAGTTGTCGTTCCACGAGATGGCTTGGGGGAGGATATGGATACCTTCGACGCCCATGCTAAGCAGAGAGAGCCAGCACCTACAGCACAGCCTAGGAGTTCTTCTTAGGCTGAGATTTTAGAGTTACGTGCCGCGGTGGCACAGCTGCAGAAGGGTCAGGCGGAGTTTAGGACGAAGTTGCGAGACTCCAGAACTGAGACGGCAGTGGCACGCCTTGCACATGCACAGGCTTTAAAGACCATTCATCGTATGCTCGCTACACAGTAGTCTGTTTTGGATGAGATACTGCGTCGGACTACTTCCACCTTGTCTGCTGCTCCGCCATCCACAGATTAGCTGATTAAGACTAGTTTTGTTTATTTTCTACGTATAAGCATGATTTTATGGACTAGGGCATTGATGTTGATGTATTTCTTTCTATTTGATGTATGCTTGCCCTAAGTCATATTTTGTAAGCATTGTATCGATGTTCATCATTTATATACATGTTTTTGGCCCATGTGATCACATTGCTGTCATATTTGTGCTAATTGATGATAGATATCTGTTTTTACTCCATATACTTGATACTCTGATGTATGTTGGAGTGTGATTGTTTTGCCAGGTGCTAAGGACCAAGTTTGGGGATGATTTTCCTATTTTACCCTTCTGTGCTAACATTATTTTATCTGTGATGGTTGTGCATCTCTATAGTAATATCTTTCTAACTCTGAGTTGTTTTCACACATTGAGGACAATGTGCACACTAAGTTTGGGGGTAAGGCACTAACCTTTTGAATTTTGATGAGAATGTAATATGATATGCACAAAGAGATGCATTTTAACTGTTTAAGCATGATTTTAGATCTGTTATTGTGATATGATGCCCTTATGTAGTCTGATATTGGTCAAAGATGGCTTGTATGCCAAATTCATGTTAAAAGGGGATTTTTGAAATTTTTTGATATCAGTTGGTGACCTATGATCCACTTTTTTAGAATAGTTACAATTTAATAATTTTGATTCCTAGAATGCTTCACTTTGCACATGAGCACACTTACATTCATTCTGTGGGGTATAAACTTGAAGTCATGTTCTGTTTTGTGATAAACTGAGATGAGCAGGTGAATTTGATGATTTTAAGAACCAATGTATAAAAAGAAAAAAGAAAAATATATGGTATGATGCAATTAAAATAAAAAAAAATAAAAACGTTTGTTTCCTGAATATAAAGTGAAAAAGTCGAAAAGGAAGGAACCAAAAGGTCAAGTTTGGGTCTGTACCTAGATTGCTTGAGCAATTAAGTCATTTGGGGTGTTTCAATACCTAATGCCCTAAAACCATCTGGTTTGGGAGTCATTGGCTAAAAACTCGCTACATAAGTGATTTAGGTTGCCTAAATTACTTGAACAATTAGGTCCTTTAGGGTGTCTTGATGCCCAATGCCCTAAAACCGTCTGGTTTGGGAGTCATTGGCTAAAAGTTCGTTACATGAGTGATCTAAAAAACTTAATAGGCCTGAACATTGCACAGTACCCTTGACAAAAAAATTTTGAAAAAAAAATAAGTGCTGAATGAAATGCATACTTGTAGAAAATTTAAAAAATACCTTGGGAATTGGAATTTGAAAAGTTTGTTTGTGAATTGATGAATATTATGGAATAGATATAAATATGAATAACAAGCCACATGTTTAAAACTGTGAGTTCACTTTTAAAAGGATTTTAAGGATTGAGATTATTGAATATGTGATTAAACTGACATGTGGGGACCATGGCCATTGATGAGATTTTAAGAGTTTGAAACTTTTCCTGATTGGCATAGCTTGTTATACTTGTTGTAATTGACTAACTGATGAATTGTTAGGATATTGTGACATGAGAAACAGGTTTGAATGAGCTTATTGTGCAATTAAGGCACTGTTTTAAGATGTTTGTGGGTACTATCACTGGAAACCCTCACGAGACTACAACTCGTCCACTAGGGGTAACCTAGGGGTTTAAAGGCTTGTTGCATATAGGCTAAATGCAACCGTAATTCCCACGAAAGCGGCTTTTTAGTTCTGTATTGCTAAGGGACTAGCAATATGTAAGTTTGGGGGTGTGATCGATGCTGAATATTGTATATTTGAGCCCCTAAATATGCATATGTTAAGACCTAAAGTGATACTTCTATCTGTTATTAGACTAATTTGTGTTTAATTCATGTTTGTAAGTAATTTCCCAAAGAAACGGTTAAAACCGAGACTTTCAGATGAAAAGATTGAATTTGCATTTGAATCTTGATCGGCGAACTGGATTTGTCAAAGAGTATGCACTCATTGAATATGAGATCTTTGGAATGCATAAGTCATCGTCAGTCATTTGAAGCAATCCGAGAGTCAAGATGGTGAATTTTAGATAAATTCAAGTGTCAAGGCTCGAGCTCTGCTTCCTAGAGCTCGAGCCCTACTTCATAGTGGTCGAGCCTTTACCTTAAAGCTCGAGCTAGGAGTGCGTCGAAAATAATTTAAAGAAAATCAAGTCCCAGACCTCGTTCCAGAACTCAAGGGATCGAGCACATGTTTAAAGAGCTAGAGCCCTGAGCCAGAAAGCTCGAGCCCTAGGACTTAGGGCTCGAGCACTATCAATAGGGATCTATCACTGTGAAGACAAAGAACCTAAAAATATTCTAAGTGTTTTGAAAAAGACGCTTCGGAAAAGATTTGAAGAATTTTGGCTAATTAATGTCTACTAGCTATAATTGTTGAATAATTAGATGGTTTATGCTTAGACTTGATGAGTTGTGTTACACATTAGTTACTTGTTGTTAAGTAGATAATTCATTCTTGAATTTGATATCCATGCCCATTGTTACAATTAGTAACACACATTTGGTTTACAACATGATTTTTTCCCAATTAGATAAAGGCTCGTGGTTTAGGGAATGAGCTTATTGGTGATTCATACGCCCTAAGACTCCCCTCCTATTTTCTAAACTCTACTCTCTTAGCTTTAATTTCTTTTGCATTGCTCATTTTAATTAATCATTAGAGTAACAAACCAAACCAACCTCTTTTCAATCTCTTAACCTATTAAGCCAAGTTTAATTCAAAGTACCCTCTAATCGCTGTGGACGATCCCTTTCTCACTATATTCATTGTATTAGTGTTAAGTGGTTTATAAATATTAATCATTGATGCACACTTCGCACATTCTAAACACACACACTTTTGCATGCACACACTGAGGTCGCATCAATATATTACAATAAAGTTGCATAAGGTGAAATTTATATGGATTAAGATCATAGTACGTGTCCCTAAATTGGGGATAATTTGTGGGAAGTTTGCATCTGATTTAATACTGAAATTCAAATGCAAAGCTATAGAGTATGAAAGCTAGGGGTGAGCAAATAATCCGTCAATTCGTCAATCCGATCCGAACC